GTGGCTGAGTGATGCTCTGGCCCAGTCTAAACCTGGCCACTTGGCCTGCCAGCCCTGGGGCCTCCTAGGACGGGATCTGCTGCAGGCCAAGTTCAGCTGCAGTCTGTACCCTGCCTGGGGCAACCTGGCATGAGCCACAAATCCATCCAGAGATGGCCACCACCCGTGCTGTGCTTGGAAATGCCTTGGGAGACCAAACTGCAAACCAAGGCCAGCTGTCACTAGTGCCAGGCTTAGGGCTGCTCAGCAAGAGGTATGGGACACACCAAAGCCAGATGCTGCTTGTTTGGGTTTTGTAAGCCTTTGAGAGAACCCTAAGAAAGCCTGCAACATGAGCCAAGGCAGGTGGTTTATATGAAAAAACCACTAGGAGTGGCTTGGGTGTGTCCAAAAATTGGGTGGGGTGGGGCCTTAGACTCTTCAGGGTGAGTCCAGGTTAATGGCGACTCAAATATGGTGGCTGCTGCATCTGTATGCCAGGAAGGGGGTGGGCTCAACAAAGAAACAATGGCTTCTGCCAGCTCCTTTGTCCTGGAGAAACCTGCCCCTCCATTCCTTACTGGGAAATTAGACAATTCAGTTCCTCCCCATATGTCTCTGGCATTTTTTGAGCTGCTGCCCCAGCATTGGAGCATAACCATAAATGATAAGTGCTTTAAAGAACATAAAATATGAGGCCATGATCAAGAAAATCTGGGGTGCAGTTTTAGACAGGATGAGCTAGGAGGGTTTCTAGGAGGAGATATATAATAAAAATCAAGAACCAATTTTGTAAATTCGGGGGGGAGGAAGCATTTCAGACAAAAGCCAGTGCAAAAGGGGATACTGAGCTTGACTTTTTCTTTTTGAGAAATGAAAATTAAAAAACTAATGTGGCTAGAATATAAAAAGTAAGAGGCACAATTGGATAAGATAGAGTTGAGAGGGAGGTAGAGCGTAGATATCATGGAATCTTGGTAGCTGTGTGATCTTAGGCCAATTACTTAACTTCTCTGACACAAGTTTTCTCATCTGTACAATGGGCATAATAATGGTACCCATATAATAAATACTACATAAAGCACATATAATAAGGCACTAGTATTATGTACTATTAAATCAGGCAAGTATGCAAAGCCCATAATACAGGCACACAATTAAAGGGAGCTATCATCCTATTGATAGGTATTCAGAGGGAATCTGGGGGACTCTGGTGGGATTCACACAGAGGATAACTAAAATTGGACCTGGCAGGGCAGGTACACTTTATCTAGAGGGGAGAGGAGATAACATTCCAGGAAAGAGACATGTGGGCCAGTGTATGGATGTGGTAATAAATATGGTACATCTGCCCAGTGGTGAGGAGACTGACCTGATCGTGGAGTAAGATATAAGAAAGACAAGATCACAGGTGAGCCCTATGAGTCATGTAGATGGGAGAGGCGCCCCTCAGCCACTGAAGGATGTTATGTGGAGGAGAGACATGATTTAGGGCTGTGGTGTCACAAGTTTCCCAGGCAACACGATTCTTCATGGTGGGCTGGGAAAGAGGGCCCTGGCCATATGGAGAGCTTCTGGGAAAGCTCCCAGCTCAGGTAAGCATAACCAGACAGTGCATAAATCAGATGTTCAGACCGTAAGAGCTTTTCTTCAGAAAGAAAAGGAATAATATGAGTGACTTCTTTTAATGACTTGGGCCACTTTCCCCTCTTCTGCCCTGGGATTTCTTTCTAAATCCTCTAACTGAGAGAAGAATGTCTCACTCAGGCGTCTCCTCCAGTTGTCTCCTTTGGAGTCAGTGGCCAGTGTATAGTCTTTCCAAGAAGCCTGGCTCCGAAATGTCCTCCATGCACTCCCCTGCAAGTGACAGCAGAGTCTATTTTTGAATTATGACCAGTTTGGAAGGTGTCTTCTGGCTGTAGCTGTGTTTATTTTCAGAAGACATATGAGCTGCCCTTTATTGTGGGGGTGAATGGGATTTGGTCATTTCCACCTTTCTGGAGAACAGGTCTGGAAAATTGCTTCTGTCTAAGGGTGTCTCCTTGGAATGTCTTGGTCATAAGCCTAGTTCTTTGTCTTTGTCTGGTAAATATTTTTGGAAAGTATTTTCTTTCAGCACTCCCTTTCTCCCGCCTCCACCATAAAACCACTGAGTGGGATCCCTCCCAGGATGCTGTCTGAATTGCATTTTCCAGCCTAGATGCCACATCAGCTGTTTGTCTTTGGTGAATGTCTTTAAATAGAGTAAGGCAAGGCTGAGGGGGACATTTTGTCAATAAAACTAGCTAATGTCTATCCCCTACTCCACTGGCCAAGAAGAGAAATGGAAAAATAGAATCGTGTGGTTACATAATAAAAGTAATGATGGTGACTAACAAAAACAAATCCATGGTCCTAGTAGAGAGAGGGAGGTAGCGTTCCTGAGATTTACCCTTTCCTTGTTAGTACCATCTGGCGTTCCGTATGCAGGGTGAGACTTTCACCCCTAGAGGGCAGTCACAGCCCTCCTGGTATAGCAGCCCTTCTGTTCACCATAAGGGTTCCCATTTCCTCCAGTCCATTTCAGGTTTTTTCTTTCCTTGCTTTGAAAGGATCTGCTGAATAAGCTTTGTTTATGATAACATAAGAAATACGCTTTACAACACAATTATGATTTTTAATCACCTCCCATCTGATGGGCCTGAAACTGACACGATTCTAGCCAAAAAGGAAACTTGCTTTAAGATTGGGTCACACAGGACAGAGGTGAATGTGTAGATTTAACTGTCTTTTTGAAGTACTGATTAGATCTATTATATTTGCTTATAGAAAAAGTTGAGAAAAACAAGTTATAAACAATAAGTGCTTTTGATCTCATTTTAGCCTCAAAGGCTATAAAATAGTGTGTTAAACCTAATTATGTCTCAGTGATAGTTGTGTGTAATTTTCACTTTTTATTCTTCTAACTTTATCCTGTAGGTGAGATTTTGGATGGATTTTTAGAATCTAATTTATCTTATATTACATTTACATGAATATCTTCTTATAAAAACATTTATCATAGTTGAATCCATTCCCTTTTGATTGTAACAATTTGCTCTATATCGCCCCAGAACTATATCCAAAAATGTTCATCCATACATAATAGTGTTTTGAGTATGCTTCTGTGGTTAATATAATTGATTTATACAACTTGATGTATTCACTCTTGGACATTATTCCACACAAGTTCATATAAATATACATTATGCTTTTTAAATAATGCCACATCTTTCCTATGTAAAAACAAACAAGACAATTCAAAATTAGTCTCATTTTCTGTAAGAAAATTAAGAAAGCTGATACTATACAATAGTTTATATATTTTAAGACACACATTGAACATCTCTGAAATTGGGATGTGTTTAAATCAGTGCCATCCTAAACTTGATGAAAAACAGTGTAAGAAACCCTTAATTGCCAGTCCTCTATCTTTATATATTTTTTACACACTAAAGAAGTAGCTTTAAGAACATACCCTTATGTCACTTATATCGGTTTATCTTCATAATATTCCTCCAAGGAAAGCTAGGGACAGTTATCACAAGCTTCATTTTATAACTACAGAAAGAAAGACATACTTTTTCCAGTGTTAAAACTAGTAAGTGACAGAGATCAAGCCAAAAGTTATAATAATATCTAATTCAACTCTCTAATCTCATTTTTTCTTGTATTGAAAGTCCTGGGTTCAAATCCCAGCTGTACCACTTTCCTTGAGGACTTATTGCTAAACATAGCATTCATACATAAAAATTCCAATTTGGTTGGCACATAGAGACTTGCTCAATGAAGAGTAGCTATTATTAGTAGTATTAATATTATGTTATTTATGCCCACTTTTTCTATTTATAATGTACACAGCTTGGAGTTTTCTGATTTTTAAAAATTGTCTTCTCAAAGACCAAAATAGTTTGTAAAATGTCTTCTAGCCCACTATAGATTTTGACACCCATTACTATCAGCATGTTGTTAAGTCTTATGTAAGCAAGCAAAATGGAGCCTATGCCCTCTGGGAGTTTACAGTCCAAAACAGATCAACTAGTTGAACAACCTTGAAAAAGTCAAGTAAGCAATCCTGAGCCACAGTGTCGTCAATCCTTTCCATCTCTTGGAGGTCAAAATTCAGGAAGAACTATTTATATCCATGAACTTGGTGAGGCTCTTGAGTAAGTAAACAAATATATATGTTTACATATTAGAAAGTCCATAATATATATGCAGAAACAGCACACAGAGAGTATTCAACCCTGTACTTTTAAAAAGCTATAGTATTGTTATCTGTCTGTCTGATTTCATTAAATGACCAGAAGTTTTCCCCTTCATGAATATCTAAAGTATTTTAGATTTTATATTTAATAAGAATTTAAAGATTAACAGATTTAATATCACCTGTTTTTTATCTCCAAAGGCAACCAGTGTTGTTTCTTGTTTGTCCTCTCAGAAATAATATATATGTGTATACATACATATATTTATATTTGTATTTATACATGCATATATGTGTATTTATTTTTAAATTTTAAAAATGGTGATACACTGTACTCATTGGTATGCATCTTGCCTTTTTATTTAACTTTATTATCTTGGAAATTGTTCAAAGTATAAGTTTGTAAAGATAGTCTCAATCTTTTGTGTGGCTGCATTGTATTTCATTGCCCAGTTTAAATTCATTTTTGAAAACAATACCCTGTTGTACATTCAGGTTGTTTCGAGCCTTTTTGCTATTACAAACTATGCTACAGTGAGTGACTCCACATGTAGGTCATTTTCCACATGTGCAAGTTTCTCTGTTTAAGCTTCTGGAAATGTAAATTATGGCTCAGAGGCAGGTACTTTTATCATTTTGGTAGAAATTGCTAAATTGTCCTCATTACTGGTTGTGACAGGTTATACACTTACCATCAGTGTATGGAAGTAACTGTTTCTCCACAGCTTTGCCAACACTATGTACTACTGAACTTTTCTCTGATTTTCTATTTAATCCTTATTCTTTGCTCTCACAGAGGTCAGCAGAACTGGCTACAGTTAGATCACCGAGTTCTTGACCATGATTTGCCCAAGAAACCAGGACCAACCATTTTGTACTTTGCTGTGAGGTATGTACCCATAGACACATCCAGCATCCCCACCTCCTTTTAGGAAAAGAAAAAAATTCTGGTGATCAGAGAGAGAATAACAACCAAAACAAAAACAACCTATCAAAACATTATTATCTGAAAGAGATTCTCTACTTTCTTAGTCTGGAGACCAAGTTACCATAAATACTGTGTAGAACTGTTTTTTTCAAGATGATGGATAGAATCACCTTCCTTCATTACTCAAAGACCCTTGGATCAATTTAAAGCTGAAAACCATGGATAATATGTTTTAATACATAAGCCTGTTTCTGACTTAACATATTTTAGGATTTTTACATTTGAAATATGGCAAACATTTAGTATTACATTTTACATGGGAATGTTTTCTAGAAACTGTAGAAATATTGAATTTATACATTTCCATGCCTTTAATTTGACTAGAAGATAAAATGCAAACAAATGCTTGCTGAAAGAATTCTCTGAAGAGTGCAGAAACCTGAGTTTGGCTTGCACACAGAGAGACTGCTGAGAACAATGCATGGAGTCCTTGACGTTCTCTCTAAGCTCTACTTGGGCAAGTCACTTAACCACACATATGGCTCAGTTACTTCCTCCTGAAACGGATGCATTCAACTAAATCAATGATTTCTTAAAAGCAGCCCATGATGGGAATATTTTGTCACATTAATTATTCACACTCTACGATAAATAAAATGTTATGAATAGTAACACCCATGTTCCTGTACCTAACATAAGAAATAGAACATTACCAATTTTGCTGAAAACCCCTCTCCCCACTATCCTGAATTTGATATTTTTGTTTTCCATGTCTGAAGTCAAATATGATTTTAAAAAAAGCTAAGATAGTAAATTTATCATAAATCTAAATATATTTTCATAAAGCTAGATCATCCTGAAGAATGTTCCTATGTTCTGACTTATGTTATTTTTTGGATGTTGAAATATGGTTTGTTTTATGATAGTGGAAGCTTCTTATTTTGGTGTGTGGGGGGAGCGGGGGCGGGGGAGGGTTATACTATGATTACCTGGCAAAATCTTGTTGATTTCCACACTTTTTTTTAAATTTCTGCTCCATGAAATCCCAAAGTGTGGTAATAAGATGTCCTATGTTTTTTCTTTTTTAAGGATCTTTTTATACATACATTGATGGTGATTGTGGATGGTAGTTGTTGCTCCTTACTCAGTAAACAAAATGTTGACAACCCTCGCTTTGTATTTTGCTTCCTGCTCTGAAATCTGGTTTAAAATTTCTTTCTTACCACCAGAAATCACATTTTTAAACCCCATAGCATAAATGGTGGTTTGTCTGGGAGCATAGCTGGTATGGAAAAGTATACAGAAATCCTAAAAAAAAAAAAAAAAAAAAAAAAGGGGGGGGTCTTGGAAAGAGTGTAATGCTTGTGTCCATGGAAATGGAGAAAAGACAGATGTAAGCCAGCAAGTAATGGGGGGAAATGCATATTCATAATTAATCAGGGATCAGAGAATAGAGAAATTTTAATCATGTATTACATAGGGAAAATGGCTCACCATAAATCAGTTTTTTCACAAAGAATTATCACTGTAAACATTTCAAACTACATGGAAGTATAGAGTGAAAAGTAAAATTTTTCCTTCACCTCCACCCAAAAGTTGCTTGGTGACTGGCTTTATTTTTTTACTTGGAGATCTTTAATTGGATATGTAAAACTCTACTTCCTTAAGCTTCCATAATTTAGCAATCCGGTCTCCTATTAAGCATTTAGGCTGCTTCCAATTATTTACATTAAAATGTAGGCTACATTTGATATCCTTGCACTCTCGTCTCTGTGCGCCCATGGAGTGTTTGTATAGCTTCCCAGTGAAAGCATTATGTCTTTGGAGAACTTAACAAGTACCGTTTATGTAGTAACGAGATTGTGTACTGGTTCTTTGACAGCTAATATCTGGTCTATTTTTGGTCTCAAAATACCAGGGCAGGAAACTGTCTTCCCTTCTGTACAGTCATTCATACTCATAAAGCCACCCTATCTTTTCTGAGCAGGTTCCTGAGATGCTGGTGCAACCTGCCGCTTGCTCATGAGTTTCAGCACTTACTTAGTGTTATCTCGAGTGTCCCATAATCACTTAGCATGACTTTCCCTTAACTACTTCATGTTTAAAACCCTTATCGAGTTTTTAATTATTCACTTAGTTGTTCTCCCAACAGTATAGTGAGATCATAATAGTCTTTGTTATTATTTCAATTAAGTACTTGTTGTTACTCCAATTAAAGAAATGATCCAGCCAAAGCATACACCACGAACTGAGGGAACTGACTCAGGTCACTGAGTGGGATGTCGTTCCTTGGAGGTCTTACATATTTGGTTGCCATACACTCGGCAAAGTCTGTTGCCTTCAGAGGGCCTCTGGGTTCCTCTTTTTTGAAAACAGGAATGTTGTTGATACTTATATCCCAATAGACACCAACAACAACCCTCTAGGTTGCCTGTGTCGACTAAACATTTAGTCACTAAAGAATAGAACCAAAGATAGTATTTGATTCTGTTTGCATATTTGGTCACCCGAGGAGCCTCTGGAAATACAGAGGACTCTTTTGATGTCAGGGTCATTGCCGCTCCATCAGCAAGCATGGCAGCACACACTGCCACATGGGCGCTGAGCCCCCATTGGTGGGCACTCAGGTGTGCAGCCACTGAGTGGTAACACACAGGAGAAGCGGTTCCCCAGTGGTAGTACATTACAGGGAGGTGTGTCTGTCTTATTTCTTATGCAGTTAGAAGTATCCAAATGCCAACAATGAAGATAAGTTTAATAAGTTATGGCGTTTTTTTCGGTGAACAATTGGTCACTTTAATAAAAGAGATTAGATGCTTCTGCAAGGGGTGAGGGAGTATATCTGAATCATCCTGGGGAGTTTTTTAAACTACACTATCACATCCCTCTGACTCCCAAATCCCCCGACTCACCCACATTGCTGCCCTGGAGATGGTGAATGTGGTCTTGGGCAAGTCGGTTGTGAGAAGTAATGAGAGATCAAAGTATTATGCAAACATAATAAAATATCATTTTTTTAAATTGTAGCATTTGCGAAAAAGGAAAATACCATATAGTTTTGCTCTTACAAAGTTTCCTCTCTACTGAAATGTAGCATTAAACCTGTGGCAGGCACTGGGTTAAATATAGTCTCATCGATTCCTGAGCTAACACTGAGATCCCCAGGATTCAGGAAGCAGCTCAGAAACACTTGCTGTTTCTGCATGTAGGAAAGAAAACATTTAAGGCGAAGGCACTTAGTTCTTCTCCCTATATGAGCTGCAGAATTGAACCATTGTATTTTCTTCAGGTATAAAATCTAAGTGATATGTGCTAAATATGTGCATGACACGTGTGTATAGACGCCCCATAATTTATGCACCATAATTCATTTAACCAATTCTCTATTTTCATGTGAATACCAACTCCCCCAGGTTGCTGGTGGACCTCTCCAGACAGGGGTTGTTATCTGCCACAGTAAATTATCTCCCACAAACACACGAGCCTCTTTGGTAATGCAGCCCAGATGTGAGCATGTGAAAAGCTTGATAGTGAGTGAACAAGCATTTAAATTGAGGTCACTTGGCGTGACATCATTGGAAAAGTTCCCATTCCCTCAGGGGAGGGCAGTCGGAGGTGGCTCGGGCTGGTACCACCCAGCTCCATGCGAAGCCAAGTTGTTGAGTCTTTACTCCACTTACTCTTCTGAACACCTCTTGCTTTTTTCTTTCTTTCTTTCTTTCTTCCTTTCTTTCTTTCTTCCTTTCTTTCTTTCTT